GGATGGGCAGTAAAAGTTGTGTTTCTCTGTCTTTTACGCGATCTCACTGGCACCAGGGAATCTGTGGTGTATATTTTGTGCGGTTGTTTTGCTTCCTTGTGACGCACAACACTCTAACTGCGCTGGAATTGTGTGTATGTGTGTGTGATCGGTTAACGGATACAGGCAAGGTTAATGGGACTAACTTTGGAACTGTGACTTCATGTTTTTCATCGATTATATCGAACGTGTCATTCATGGCACGTTTCGCTATGAGAAAACCAATTGGTAATAAACTCTTTTCGGGGGTTCATACAGTGACTAATTAATCATAATTTATACATTTGTCCATAGGTTAAGAACAAATTACAGGCAGGAAAAATAAAATTTACGATTCCTGTGTGTGCTGATCTAACTGTTCCTCTTGGATAACGAATACCGGTCGTCCTAGCAGACTGAATGAGTCCGCAAACCCAAACGGATTGGCGGAATATTAGAGTATGCCTAAACCCATGAATATATGGTTTGATTGTTTTACACCTGGTTGAATCAGGTCGTGGTCATGGAATTGAAAATTTGAATTTTTTTTATCTTCTCAGTCTGTCTTCAATTCTAACCCTATCAAATACTAATAGGATAACTTATGATGTATTGACCAATGAGTGTAATTATTTTGAGTCACACTATTTTTGAGAGTCCAATTAGGAGTCCTTCGATGTGGATGTAATGATACATTTCCCGCCGGTAACAAAATTAACATGTCTCACGCCTTTAATAATCAGCAATCAAGTAAGGGCAGGTGTATTGACGAACAATAAATAAAAAGATCCAATAAAATATGAAATCAAACACCACAACCGCAGCTCCAATAGTGATTCTGGTAAACGGATTATTCTCAGAAGATATTGTTCCATGCCATATTTAACTCGTTGTTTGTTAGCTGTTAGCTGAATCTTCTCATTTGCTGCTTAGCAACCCCAATTTTAACTTGATTGATCATCTGCTTACTGTCTGTAATCGATAGAAAAGAGTATCTACCCATAGCCAATCTCGATTTGGATTCCCAAGTCAGAGTCGCATTAAACTCCCTCCCTTATCCAATTTGTCCAGCTTAAAAACTTGTTGAACTCGACTATGAAAAAGCTGCTTACAAGGAAGATCTCACAACTGTCTATCTATGTTATCTGGTGGTGGTAGTGGTGGTGATGGTGATGGTGATAATGACCGAGTGTTAAAGGTCACCAAATTATCGCTGCGGAGGACCTGTGTTCGAATCCCACCACCACCGCCTGACTTTCCCACTCGGTGTCAGTTGTACGGTATATTAAATCACTACATATTTAATTAAAGGAAGTATAATAACAGATAATAACAGATAATAAAGGTATAGTTAGCCCAAGAGTAAATGAGCACAAGTAGTACCATAAATTTACACCTCAGATTTACATCCAGTTATCTTAATGTGGTTTGGAAACCTATATCTGCCCCTCCCTCTCTATGCCTCTCTTATCACAACAGATGACATCAAATCCGGTTTCGTGCGTCATTTCATCATCGGCACCGTGCCCATGGTTGATGGTCGTGGAGACGGATTGCAACTGTGCGGTTTCGCCAACCAACCTGTGTTCCCCAGTTTGGTCGCTTTTGTGCATCATCACATACTCCAGCCCGGACCGTTCCCTTGTGCACTCCGACTGCCTGGCGGAATTGGGCCAAGCACCATTGTCCCCGTACAAAATGCTCGTATGAATTACACCTCACAGACCAGTCAATATTCCGGGGTGGTCGGATCCACTGGAGTGACAAGCGCCGTGGACGGAACGATTGGCGTCGGAAGCGATGGTATTGGTGAGTGGATGGAGCTCTCCTAATCCGTCGAAATTCGTTCGATGGTCAGTATGACACTCAGGAAAAGAGTACATTCCATAAGATGCCGTTCTTAATATCCGAGAGCTGTAGTGCACGAAACATGTTTAACCTTCGCCATAAAAATTGATGATGGGAGTGGGTGGAATATTTACTGCATAAGAGGATGATGTAATTATGTCAAATTATGTCAAAACATATCGATCTGCTATTGTAGCGAGAAGGTGAGCTGGCTGGGAGAACATGTATTGATCCAATTCAAAGCAAACGGTGTATGCGTTCGATTTTATACAGCCAATTCTCAACCGCGCGGCGGGATGATTCATGCCTCTTTCTGTGGGTCGTTCCTTGCTGGTTTTGGTCCGCACTTGGCACGTACGTTGCCTCTTCTTCCGTGTGTCATTCCGACTGGTTTTACCCGATCGCGGCACGGGTTGCGTTGATCGACAGCTCCGACGATGTGACATTCGGTGGATATCTTTCTCGTTAGCTGCTGATTGTCTGTCGGGCTATAATTGTCGATTCGCTCGTTTCGGGTGGCAGTCAACATTGTCTCACCAGGCACTTCCCGCCGCTGCGTCTGCGCGTCTGGTCGGATGAGCCCCATTTTTGATTCGGTCGCTAGCCAGGACTCTCTTTGTATCGCCTTCCATCACACTATGATGAACAATTCACGAGCTATCCGTTTGAAATAGAATTTCGGAATTATTTTTCCTCAGTCTGAGTAAAACAGACAAACAGTTGATGTGCCATAATAGGTTGAAAAAAAACCTTTTGGCCCGTCAGATAATGAACTTTATCGAATGATTATTCAACCAGACACCAATAAATGAGATGTGTCAGAAATGGGATGGGTACAAAGTAGGTAAAAGTGATATTTACTTATCGAATAAACATTTCCGGATCACGTTCTGATTACTGATTGAAAGAACCAACGACACACTGACTGATAGTATAAAATGGCCACGATGAATCTGACATAAATCATTGATTATTCATCTCATCAACAAGTGATTTGATAAGATCATGATTGGATGACTGTGTAAGTGGACGGGTAAAAAGGTCATTAAGTGATTTATTCCAATTTCAACCCAACAAAAATTTTCTTTGGTCAATTCACGTTTTCTATCTCCCTACCTCACCCCCTCTCTCTCACCAACGCGTCTTCACCGGTTAGCTGCCGATATGCTATATCTGGGCCAGGTTGAGGTAGATCGTCTCGAAAGTGCCGCCGCTGTACGCCGCGCGATTACACAAATTCTCTCACAGGCCGCTCACAGCCCGACCGGATTGCCAAAACGTTGTGAAGTGTTGATCAAGGCAATCCCACATGACGGGATCACGTTTGTGGACAAAACGAAGAGAACTATGCTACGCAAACACATCAAACCATCTCAGCTGCTCTGGTGTGGAATCGATCCGGAGAATCGGAGGTAAGTTCGCACGCATGATAACCAATCAACCGTGTGTTCTCGTTTAAAAAAATCCGTTTTTAAGTGAAAAACAAACAAACAAACAAATGTACACGCCTAAACAAAATGTAATATTTGCTTCGGTTTCAGTTCGGTCACAGTTCGCGTTCTGCACAACACGGGGGTTACTTAAGAACTAATGCATGCCTGGATAATAGTCCCAGTCGATCTGCTCCTTTCTGGTGAACTAGAACGATGAGTTCTTATTCGCAGCTGTTTCGTTCGCATCAATAAACATTGGTTTCTCCAAACTGGAACATTTCACCAAAATGAAAGAAAAACTACCCACTCCACCCCATCCCGCTTTCACAAACGCCGTCCCTTCTGTCCCGACCCGCACCCAATAGGGAGTATTGTAATCGTACAAACTTGGTCGATGGCGGAACAAATTGAAACCAAAGCCACTGATCGGGTACAGAACAAAGGGAGTTTAAAAGGTGACTTGTGAAACCACCAAACAGCTGCTTCAAATGTGTCATCAATAGCGGGTAACCGAGATGATCGACCCGATTCCGGATAAAACTCGAAAACAGGTGTACTATCTACCCCCTGTTTTGGTTTAATTTCTAGCTTCGTACTGTTTCACTCAACCAGCTGATAATGTTTATTGGAAAGTGTGTACGACTGTCCTAAGCTTGACACAGTGGATTTCACTTTAGCACATGTAAAACCTTAGACTACAGCGTGGAGAATGGAAAATATTCACGGCAATACACTGTGGGTGCAATTTTTTATTACACACCAGTTTGTGATAAACAGCAGACGGGGTGAACCGCATAGCCACAAGGACCTACTGTTCAGTGATGGTAACCGACAACTTGATCCCCGGGAATTGGAGTGGCGAACCACACAAGACACCGATAGGTCAGGCGTGGTATAGAACCGGGCGACAGCAAAGTTGCCTACCATCAACGTTGGGTG